ACAGGATTCCAACGGGTTGTCAGTACATATTCATTTTTTGTCAAGTATTCCGGCAAATATTTGTCGGAAAGTGCCCGAAAGGTATACCTACCTACAGTGATTTCTTTTGCTAAAACTTTAACTTTAGGCAAATTGATTGGTTGAAATATCATCTCATTAGGATCCAGCATAATCCTACTTGTTTCATTTGTCGGAAAACCACTATTGTGAGTTCTATTCGAAATTTCCGCGTCCGTCTTAGAGACACCCCCAGCCTGTAAACCTGCCTTACAGAATAAACCTTTGGTTGCACCAACAATCACTCTCACTCTCTCTTTGACGAGGACCCGCACTGAAGCATGGCGTCGACACCACTACGATCCCCGCTCCGGCGTGGCCATGGCACATCGCCGTACATTGTGGCCAACCACTCACCACGAGAGGGAGCCTCTCTCCGTCCGTCATCTGGATCGCTCACCAAGTGAAGAAGGGCGTCCTCCAGCGCGTCGAACGGGTACCCGGGCAACTCTACCTGCCTCAACACTCGCTCCTGCTGAAGTCAGGACCGATGTGTCTCCCTCCGAGTTTGTTGCTGCTGCTTCTCGTGGAACGTTGGAGAATACATCGACTTCAGAGCGCACTGATACAGCTTCTACTGGTTTCTGCGCGACACTTCCTGCTCCAGAGATTGCTTTTGTCGGTCATGTTGAGACCAGTGCGACTCTATCCGCTCCTGAATGCGATGCTGCGGCTGCAGTCAGACACATGGAGGCAGGAGAAACTGTATCAGTTCATGAAGCGGCTATGGTGATCTTTTTCAACTACTTCTTCGACCCATTATAAAGACATCAATTAACCAGCGGGATACGTCCGGCGAAGTACACCGTGATGAAGTGTTCACTGGACGTTCTTTTGACAGCATTATGGAGGCTGTTTGGGAGAAGTTTTCTCCTAATATAAAGAAGCAAGCCGTTAAGACCGATGGTATCTGGAGCGTGGAAGATCCTCAATTCTCGGAGTGGGCAAAGTTGCTGCAGTTCAAGGTAAAAAAAACGCGTTGTTGACTCTACAAAGCCAGCACAAGCATGGAACCAGTGGATCGTTGCAAATAAAGGGACTACTGTGACTCTCATGGTCTATGAGTACGGTATGGCCATTGCAACTGCTAAAGATCGAGATGACTTTATGAAGGCGTGCGTTCTACCAGAGACGGATCGTGCAGGTGCAACAGCAGATAGTTCCCTGCGAGAAGTGGTGGAGGCGCTTCGACAGAAGTGGAGAAATACTTTTCAGGCATCGTCGATTGTCTGGCGTATGTGGGCGAACCACGTGACGCGAAATCTGAATCGCTCGACTTGGAATGCTAGTATTGCCAACCCACCGCTAAGCTACATCACCGAAACCTTCTCGATCCAGCAGAGCCACGCTTTGAGGAGCATTTAAATGGAGTAGTGCAATCTTCCAGTGTGGCGCTAGACTGTGTGAGAGCCTCTATCGGTGACTGTCAGCAGCTCCGTCGCTACCTTGAATCTGCTGGACGTTACCTTGACGATCCAGAACAGCGATTGGTAGCACGTGAAGCTATCATTGAAGGCATTATTCGCGATCTCGTGCCTCCGTTTCCAAGCACGATCATCGACCCGATGCCCCTGATTGAGAACATCGAAGACACAGAGCACGCCGAGTACGAACCACCATACTCAAGCAAGTTTTCTATTATATCTCAAGTGTGAGAGCTAAAACGTTTCGTACTTTGACTAGTTTACGATTCCTCGTCAAGTGCAGTAAACTCGAAGTCATCATTTCTGGTCGTCAGTGTGTTGAGTTCTGGTTGCGTTTGCTTTTCAATCGAAAGGGGCACAGGATCAAAGTAACCTTGAATCTTCAATCCACAGTGCTGAAATACCTTGCTGAGATTGTATCGTCGGAACGTTTGAACAACAAAAGGCATAATATTACGCCCACTACATTCGAGGTAGTGTCGCTGGAATAAGCGCTTCACGTAGCCAAACAGGAACTCTATCGGGGTTGAAAAAGGGCAATAAGCCGGAAGGAAAATGGGCACAACACCAACACTGCGAAGGTAGTGCACAACCTCTATGTGCCTGGGAATAGTAGCGCCATCCAAAATCCAGACTGAATTTCGACCAGGGTATTGACGAACCGGTCCACTTGGGCAATGTACAAAATCTTGACAGCATTCTGTGAGCTCCACTCGGTCAAATGTGCCCTCCGTGTTGAACTAGTCTAGAACCCCATTAACGCCAATAAACACCAGGATTGAAACCCGTGGCTTTCATTCAAAGTCACCCCGAATAGCAACCTTCTTCCCACGAATAGTGTAACCTCGCTGCGTATCATTCCTCTGTTGTCGAAGCTGACCTCGCCCAGGAAGACAATGTTTTGGTGGCTCCAATCTACGTGGCTTAGTTCCTCCACGAAGCGGAACACGTCACGTTCCTTGATGTGCATCGCGCGTTGCTCCAATACCTGAGGCCATACGCGTGTATTATTCTCCAGACTGACGTTTTTGAGATGTCAACACAATGAGTTTTTTGAAAGCATCTTGGGCTTCGTCGAGATACGCAAGAGGATGCTCTTGGTAGTAATTAAACAGCCATTGACGCTGCTGTTGTGTGT